GAGGAGGGTGAAAGGGGCTTTGGGATAGGGGGGTTTCCACCTTAGGTGCTTCGGGAGACGGGCAAGAGAATCGTAAACCGCCGCTTCGTCGCGCGCGGCAATGAGGCGCGACTTTCCTCAATTTGCACTACCCTTTCGATTGGAGCATCGGATTTCATGTAGACAAGGATATGGTAGACACCTATCTCTCATACATTGTCTATTTTCGACGAATACCAGTCATCATTAGAAGGCGCGACGTCGCACGCTACGCCCAATGGCGCGGCGAATTACGGTTCTCTTGTCACATACCCCGCTCCTTCAGTAATCCTATTCACAAGTCTCACTCTGGTGAAACCTGTGAACTCTTGTGAAGCTGGAACAAGCGCGTCGAGTCATAATGGTAAATGGTATTCGGGGTATGTGACAAGAGGATCGTAATTCGCCTCGCCGCGTTGGTGGGCGTCGCGTGCGACGTTGCGCTCGCAAATAACGATGGTTCCAGGTTGAGGATGGCACAAAAAGCAGATCAGAACCTCAAATGTGTACGATTACGGGGTCTACGTGAATTCCGGTGCTCCAATTGACAGGTTAACACGAGTTAAGAAACTGTCGCGCCCGTCGCCGCGCGCGGCGGAGCGGCAAATTACGATCCTCTTGCCCGTCTCCCTGGTATTTGTATGGTGTTTGGGTGCTTCACAAGAATCGACGGGTACTCTTTACAAGAGCTGACAGGTAGTCTCCAGAAACACTGGCATGGCTCGACACGTCGACGGGAAGCAGCAAAAGTGCAAAATCTTCCCTCCCCCCCCCACATCCTCTTACCTTCGCCGAACTGCGCCTCTAACTAACTTCTAACTTTCTTCCTTTAATACTCATGACAACTATATCTTGTGCTACGACCATTAAGATTTTCTGGTTTATGCAGACGAGAAAAAACTATAAACGAAATCGGTGACTCCTCGTTAGGCAGGCGTTGGTGGCGTCGGATGGCCTGAAATCAAATTCTTGAAAAAAATTGAAGGCTCTTAATACTCAAAAGAAGAAGCCTGTTCCTGTTGATATGCGAAAGCCGTCGGCAACGTATTGCTGCAGAGTTTTTCTAATTAAAAATTCTCAGTATGGGGAAAGCCATTGTGCCAATATTTCCGAACACATCCGTGTTCTCCGCAGTGGTTCATATATTATAGTGTGTCATAACCAAGGCTTTTATCCTACCTAGCAGCAAGCCTCCTACATTTAGCCTTTTATACGCATGCTGACAGCAAACAGGGTGCGTCCTGCCGATAGGCAAAATCTCCGGAAATACAACACCCCAATTTCGTCCCCTGCTACGACCACCCCCCTTTTCACAACTTTTCCCAGCCACCTTTCCACTGCACTATGAGCGCGTCGACGGAAGGGTGTACAACAACAGCAAGACGGGAGAAAACCGCGAAGTCAACAACCGGAAAAATTTTCCGCAATGCTGCAAATTTCTCTCAAAGGCACATACAATCCCTCTCCGTCCAGTGACCGAATACGAACCCCCGCTAGGGGATTTCCCAACTAAGGCGTGCCCTGACACCAAAAGTTTCAGATTTTCGGAGTAAAAGTGGTTTTCAGAAGCATTATCTCCATCGCTCATTTCCACCACTGTCGGTTTACTAGCCATGCTGTCCTTTTTTTGATGATTCTCTAACGCGTATAGTGCCGAAAACCAGGATGTCGACGAAACAGATTCACAAAAGTACTCTCACTCGAAGAAGGCAATTAAAGATTGATAAATTGTTCAGCTGTACCTACCAACTTATTTGTCCCAGAAAGGAGAACATAATCCCCTGGACTGCAGAGTTCTCAATGAGGCGAGAGTGGTGCAGTGACGAGAGGCGCGCTTGCCACTCGCGCGGTCCTGTCAAATCCCGGCTTCACTCCCGCCCAGACGAACCAACCCTCTACTCCCGTAGACGGTAAATTGATCCAGATCGGTTGAGAGGAAAAACACTGACTTGTACATCGGCTGGCCACCGCAAGTCATTGTATAGGCCACATCGCATTCAATAAGCCACTACGATTCTGGAATGGAAGTAGAATGCGTGTCGCATCCTTTCAGTTTTCTCAATGCAGACATTTTCCCGCTCCAGCAGGCGCAACTAATATTGACCAGGAAACTTGCATTAAATACATATTGTACACCTGCACACAGATCTTTTTTCGAATCTGATTCTAATTTTATTCTTCATTTATTTTCTCTAACTTTGTCTTCCTATGTTGCAATCAGACAGCAGGAATGCGCGTGCCTCCGACCGCTGTGGACTTCTAGTGGTGATCGGTTAGTGATCGAGTTAGGATGAGTACAATCATTGATGAGAAGGCCATGGTTGAGCATATCCTATCCCTGCTGAAACCGCCCCGACTGATTGCTATGTTAACTGTATTTCTAGCGACTGTAACAGAACAAGAATAAACTAGAGCTCAGAAATCAGAATTACAAAAATTATACAAAATAAAACATAGGAATTGAAAAAGGAGAAAATAAAAGTGTTGCTCACCTTTGGGTAGGATGCCCTTGAACATTTCATGAAGTTTCTGCCCGAACTCCTCTTTTATCGACTTCATTTCTGCTTTGTCAGCTTCGCTGAGCTGAGCATCAGCGACTTCCTTAGCGATCTATAACCAGCTACTTCACATGTAATGAACTTCGTTGCAGAGCTACATAGCGACCCCGATGGAGTAATTAGTCCCCCCTTTGGAACTGAGAAATTAGAGGTTGTTTACTAATCGACAGGAATTGTACAGTCCTCATCATTGCAGACCGGTGGGGCGGGTGAGCCGCGCTGCGTGTGACTCGGCTGTGACGCGGCAGCGATGACAGTCGCGTCACAGCCGAGTCACACGCGGCGCGGCTCACCCGCCCCACCGGTCTGCAATGATGAGCACCATACTCCTTATCCCCGAGGCGGAGTAGGTGTGGTATTTGAACATGCCATCCGATCGGTTACACGTGGGACATTCAAGTCTGAGAAGCTTAATCTTGTTTGTTGTTGGACAAAGACATGATCGCAACTGCTCCAAAAGGAGATATCTAACGAGAACCTTGGCCACCGCCACGTTCAATCCAAGTACGCAGCCACGCCTACTGCATCTCGGAGATTTTGAGTGTAAGTGGACGCGGGATATAACTCGAAGCTAACATTATTATATTTGAAAATGGGAAACTTTCAAAGCCGAAGCTAGTGAAGACGACCTGTGCACTCGGAGGAAAGCTGTAGTGTGTCATTTTCTCCGCACAGAAGTGCACTGAAAAGGAGCTGGAGGATAGGGATGCCGCGTGCTGCCTCCATACTCCGCCCGGGCCACCCTCAGTGACATTAAGCTCTAGCAGCGAAACACGCATTCAGTGGTAAGAGAATAAGCAAGAACAACCAGAGGCGAGAGGGCGCAGGCAAGTAGCGCGTTTGATTATGGTCAGGCGTGTGGCTGGCCATGCAGCTGCGCTGACGAAGTATATAGACAGAGCCCTAGTATCGCTTCCCTCCAGCCCCGTCCCGTGCTTTTCAATCGGAGAACATGGTACGCTGCCGCAGCAGACCCATTCAGCTCTTAGATATCAAGGTCCAGAATCCGCGGAGTTGAGGGTACAGCCTGTCTTGAAGGTGTGAAATGGTTCAGAAGCTCGCTAGATACTCATTTAATGCCCTTGATTGAAACTTTGTCTCACTAACCATCTGTTTGGCGTTTTCCATTCCTCCGAAGAATGCGCCTGATTCGAATTGGTTGATCAGTCTGGTTCCAAGCGCTTTTACCTTCAACGAACAAATCTTCCGCAATAGCTCAGCGGTATTGAAAATGATGTCGAGTAGTGAAAGCTAACCTTTTCATTATTTGATGCGGCGAGTTTTGCCTTTAGGTCATTGATCAAGGAGTCGAATTTTGCCTGAATCACTTCATTTTTAGCTGACCCTTGACTTCATATTTTTGACCGATATATACAGTCTTCTCGCTTGCTTGAGCACAAAATGCCATCAATTGTTAGAAAATAAATCAGAACTTCCATATGAAAATACTTCTACTAATTTGATTTTTAAATTCATTTCTGTTGCAGTACAGACAAAGAACTTCCCTCTTCAAATTCAAAAACGATTTTTTCAAGTACGAAAGTGGGAGTGCAACGAGCAGGAGCAAGCAGTGCCATACAGGAAGAAATCTTTCTCTTAGTCCAGTTCTCTTTTTCTCAAATTCACAAAGTCGTACGTCCAGAGATAGTTACAATGAGTGAGAAAAGGTAACATACTTGGGTGATTTCCCCACTAGTATTGAAGCGGTTCAGCGGGTAGAGTTGGGGCGCACTTGGTGGCCAACCTGCGATCGCGGCTGCAATCGCGAAGCATGAGTGCTGCCTAAGGTGTAGGATGGCTGAAGCTCAGTTCAAAATGCTTCGAAGTGCAGTGCTGATTGGGAGACAGTGGAGTTGCGGTGGACTGTCCAGACAGAGGAAAGGGGAAAGGCGTTCGTGGAGGAGAGGAGGTCGGCTTGAAAATGCGCAGCCACCGTTGCGGCATTATGCATGGCTCTCACTTATGTAAAATAAGTTGAGAAAGACTCACCCGGTTGAATGAGGGATATTTTTTTCGAATGAACAGCAGTTTACAGCAAGACTGGACCATGACAAAAATAGAGATTCTGCCCCTGGGGACTTTGGAACTCATTTCGCATGGCATAACGGTCTACGTCACACTTTGGACATTTGCCCTAGGCTCAAGGCTTATATCTTCAGAATGTTTTATTAGGGACAAGTGTTGGAATACAAATTTGACGCTGTCTTGAGATATAGACTGCTGGTGTATTTCAACATGAAGACGACAGTTTCCAAAAAAACTGCACGCGGTTGACTCAGCCTTAGAAGTTGCGCTGCTTCCACAGGATCAGACAAATACCATGAGCTATCTAGAGCTGAAGAAGTAAACGGTTCCATGGTTTCATCATGTGTTCGAGGAAGAGGAGAGGTGGCAGCGGTAGAGCTCCGCTTACAGGAAAATGCCGAGACCGTATATTGTGGTTATCTATTTTCGTCAAACGACTCTTGGGGGGAGACAATGCGAAAAAATCGTGGGAGACACCCTTAGTAATGAACTCGCGGCCTTTTTGGACGAGTTCTTCAGACCTGCTCGTTTTATGCGAGCGATATAGGCGATAAGGCGATATCTATCCGCCTTGACTCAGTAATCGTTTCTTCGCGTAATTCAATGCAAACACCATCTGGCAGTGAAAAAATAACGAAAAACGGCTCGTAAACATAACTGTCTTAGGACTGAGGGCCAGACTTCTTGTACAAGGAAGGACGCTTACGAATAGCTTGGGTGCGGGGACCGCCTCAAGAAAAACCCTCTATGGGAAGGTTACCTGGACCATGCCTCCACCCTGTGTAACGAACTTTTGATGGTATGCCCCAAAGAACGTCTTTTTTGTTCCCATCCCCCTAAATTTCTGGGCTACTAACTGTGCACAAAAAGGCATACCAAGGTTTCCAACTGGTACACAAAAAGGCATAATGTTTAAGTTGGTAAATACAGTACATTCCCCAACTTTAACTGTGTACGGAGAAGGAGGTGTTTTAGTGACAAGTAGCGCACTAGTCGAGCCCAGTGGTGAACGTTTAACCCGAGGTCGGTTCCCTCCTAGGTGTGATTTGTCCTTCGGTTAGGTCCTGCACTGCACAAGCCGTGTCGCATTTATACGCCATTGCGATTCTGAACGAAAAGACATGAAAGACGTCAAGCATCCCAAAAAATTCGTTGCTCATGGTGAAAACTTCAAGTTCCCTATTATCGCGCATTCGTTGGGTGAAGTTGGCTGCGAATCCGCAGGAAGATCATAAAGGACGAAATTGATATCATGAAATGCTAGGAAAAGGAATATTCTTATGTCAGCTTTGCAACTTCCGCAAACTTTAATATTTCCGAAAAATCTCATTTGAGCGAAGAAAAAGCGGGAACTTTCAAATTAAACTCATGGAATTTTACCTTGTAGTCACCTCCTAGGCTTGAAATGAATTCGTTGAATTTGGCTTTTTTCTGCTCAGGACTTGAGTTTGACTTGAAGTATTCTTCGAGCTGAAAATTCTTCTCAGGTTCAGGCTGCTCCTCTTCAATAAGGGAACTGATACCTGTTTAGCCTTCTCCTGCATGTCTGGGGCCGTGTCGTCGGCAAAAGCCACTATGAAAATTGCGAAGCATAAGTAGATTCGGAACATTTTAAGGGTGTTTTTAAACGGTTCAATAGGATGGAGTAAATGGAGCGATTCGCGAGACTGGCGGCTGCCTTTTGTAGTTTCCAGTCGCATGGGGCGGTTATCCAGGGCGATTATACAACAATTTGAACGGAATAATCGTCACATCCAACCACATCAGACTAACACGGGACCGATAATCATAGCGAAATTCTCGGAGGATCATTGAGGGATTCGTCAACGGCCCAGTTGTGGAGTGTTTACTGTTTGTTTCCATTGTAGGTAGCTCTGGATCATAATGATAGGGATTTTTCCGTAAGGCGATTTGCGTACTCTCGATCCGGGGGAACCATCTGCTGGGGAATATTAATAGCAGAACAGATTTTTGTATGTGGAAGCATTCACCTGTAGGGTCGGAACCTCCTTGCCTCCGGATTTCAACGAATAAGGCACGATAAGTTAGTATCTGATCTACACTCCTTATCCCTGAGACGGGGTAGGCGTGGCATTAGAACATGGCATAGATTGGATTACTCGTGGGATATTCCAATTTGACAACTGTCATCTGGTTCCAACTGTCATCTGGTTCAGTGTTGGAAAATGACATGACAACTATTGCGTTGAAATGAAAATATCTCACGGAAAGCTCTGTCACCGCCACGTTCCGTGGAAGTACGCGGCCACGCCCATCACATCTCAGGTCTTCGATTGTAAATGGTGGCAGTGGTTCTATATAATGGAAAAAAATTTTATGTTATTATAGTTTCATTTATTTATTTACTTTAAGTTGCCACATTAGAAACCGCGCCGGAATCAAACAATTGTGGCCCAATTGTAGATAAACCAAATTACTCAAAGCAAACAACTAAAGAAAAAAAATTAAATAAAAAAAAAGAACCGTAAGAGACCAAAAACCAACTTTTACTTATTTCAAGTGATGGAGCAGTTTGAAACCAAGCCACTGCAGTTTGTCCAGGGGAGGAGGAGTCCCAGAAAACAAATAGACGGCAGGGGGGGGGGAAACCACAATTCGACCAGGTGGCCCAAAACCGCAGAGAAAGAGGTGCGGAATTGCAGTGATCATGAAGGCTTTCCTCACAAGGTACTAGCAACCGGCGATGAAGCAACTGTCCGCACTGGGCTTGGGCGGCAGGGTCGCCCTTTTAGCGGCCACATTGTTGGGGGTTACCATTAGGGTGGTGCCGGGCACTTCGAAAAACGGGGTATACCAGCTTCCCACGTGGGAACGGACACAGTGAATCCAGAAGCAACAAGACCAGATTACTACTAGACTTGAGCCTTAAACCCGAGAGCCCGAACAGTTTTCATAGAAGGTTATTTAGTCTTGAACCGAAGATAGCCGTTTTTAGACAAGGATTAACTGTTTATTGAACCCTACTCTATGGGACAAACCAAGTGGAAACGAAGAAGCAGGTCCCATGGCGAGTGGGGAAAACAAAAGAAAAAAAATTAATGATATCTGAACATCAGTCACCAAAGTACATAGATACCAGGCAAAGCAACCCCCTCCACACCATCCAGGAAAAGCTAAACTTTTGAAGTTTTTGCTTGCGCGGTTATTTATGACGAACGAAGGAGAGAGCGCAATTCAACCAGTGGTTGTTACCACGGGAAGTGAACACGGGGAAAGAGGTGGACCATTGACTGGAAAAGGGGAAAGAGAGCACATTTATGTCATAAGGGAAAAGATTCGGAAGGAACATGACAAAGATTTACCTTGTTTAATTCTTCTTTCAAACGAAAACACTAGTGACTGCTCCAAGTACTTCCGGGGAAAGTGTGTTAAGCCATCTGGCACAGCGAATAAAAAGAGACATTTGTTGAGTCTAAAGCGCCAATACTTAGACGGACGCGCTTTGGATTTAAAATTGGCGGGCGAAAAAGCGAAGTGAAACGGTCGAAAACTTGCAAAAATGCCTTGTTCTACACCAGAAAGCTATTTTGGACGAGTTCTCCATTGGCATCGTGGCAAATTAATCCAACTATCCCACTATTCCACTCGGTAGATATGGGTGCATTTTTACGCACCACATGTTGTTCCATGCAAGGCACCTTACACATCAATCCTTACGCTCGTACTGTATTTCATAAATGAAAACGATATTCAGCATCAGATCGGACCATTTGTAGGCGTTTACGGGTTTCGGTTAGTTTGTAGTTTGATAGGGCGCTACAGGGGGACCTTGTTTGGGAAAGGCGCTGCAAATTTGCTCGTTCTCAAAAAAAGGGAAAGCCCTTTATAGCGCCCGTATCACCAATTTGGCAACGGGCTGCCAATATCATTACACGGTCGCCCGCCGGCACAATTGGCCCCCTACCTTCACATCCACCTGGCGTTTTTATCGCTTCATTTATGAAGTACTAGAGTTGAAGCGATGCTACATGGATATATGAATACATTTGTGCAGCCATTATCCATCCATTCGGTTTGTTTAGCTGGTTGCCAAAAACTTTCTACTTTTACTTCCACACCACCCTTACGATTCCAATAGGCGAGAGTTTTTCTGTCGGATGCCTTAAAACGATCCCATAGTTGCTTGGCACCCAATCCTGTAGCAGTTAACGAATTTGCCAAGGGGGGAACGGTTACATGCGACGGCATTATTGAGGATATTCTCCTCGAGGTTAGTTGGCATCTAAGCGTCAGCGTCACTTTTCAGTCCGGGGTTCCACGAAAGAAAATTACTCAGTCTTACCATTCAGGACAACGTTTACAAGTCCATATTACCAACAACGTCCCCCCCCCCCTTGGCAACGGGAGAGATGGTTGATTATCCTGAACCTAGCGACGTTTGTCGAGAGAACGCTGATGTGGAGGATTTCAAAATAACCGAAAGTGGTCAGAAATCCCCAGGTAGCTAGCTATCCATGGGCGACCCGATACAAGAAGTTTCGCAGCTGTTTGAAAGTGATGTGAACTCCATGGTGCTTCTTCAGTTGGAGGCTGCGATTTTGGATTCTCGTAGACTTCTGTTTCGGTGTAAATGAGGCGTTGATGCGAAGAGCCATGCTCCTTACTTATCGTTGGAGTTCATTTTGGGTTATCTTCCGCCGTCTAGTACTCCGGGTCCACGTCTTCCGTCTGGGGCTCGTGTTAAACTTTACTGTTATTCTGATTTCAGCAGGACGTGTACCCTTCTATGGTAACCCCCTCTGCTTATTTCCTTGCGCAAATTATCAATTATTGCCGACCTTATGCCTCTGAGTGGAGCTCTTTACTTCAAACCATCGCAACAAGGAACTTTTTAAAATTGAAGCAAGTTGGATTGTTACCTTCGTGCAACTTGTTGCTCTGATGATGTGTGATCCGGAAACATCGGTTTTTGAAACACTTAGTATCCCACAGTAAGTTTATAGGTAAATCGGCCACGTCCATACATAAAACACTTCTCTCCCACCACGATGACGTATTCTGCTTCGTAAACGACCACTACTTTTACTAAAACTGAGTCACTGGGTATTTACAGATTACGAATTTTCATAGAGGAACTATCCAGAAGTAGATTTTTATCTTACCGCCACAGCAAAAGGGTAAATCAGTACAAGTGTGCAGTAGCACCGCTCCTTGGAAGCCTTAACGCGCCTGTGACAGGTGACAATTGCTCAATTTTGTATACAGTTTCCAAAATATAGCGTGTTCAGGCCAGCAAGTGTCCCCCGACAATCAAACGAGCCAGCTTACCAACGTAGCGAAACTCTGCGCCTTATTAAGGAAGAGGAAGGCAAGAGAGGTTTCAGTTTGCCCGTTCGGGACCCGTTCCCATTGTTTCATAGCTGTTTTGCATTGTTTTCAGGAAATCTGTCCGATCACCCGAATCCGCAAGGCCTACCTGTGTGCTTCATCTGTAACAGACCGATTCTGTGAGTTTATCAGTATCTATCACCTTCACAACAGAAGCAATTTTCATTAGTATCATCAAATTGCATCACATTGACATCAAAAAGAACCTCAGAAGCATTGTCATCCGCAATGAAGAGTTTTCGGTGGTTATGGAGACTTCGGGTCGAGAAGGGTAGCGCGCAGGCCAGTTAACCTAACAAAATCGTGCCACCCGTCCGGTAGAATCGAACTCGACGAGGCGGTAACGCTTCTGGGACTCCATCATATTCCACATTGTATACGCCTGTAAGCGATTTGTACGTGACGTTCCTAACAATTCTGTGAAGTAGCTTACCATTCCGACTGCCCATCGCTTCACTGAGACTTCTTCTCATTCTGACTGGAGTCATGGCAGAGACCTGCAAGTGTTGCTGTTGAAAATGATTCAACTGGCTTGCGCGCCTTGTTTTGATGACGCGAACATCCTTCCACTTGTAAAGGGAACTCACTGCAGCGACGGGGGGGGGGCATTTTGCAATTTGTTCACTAGTTACGTTTTACAAGTCTCCCTGTGGTGAAGCCTGTGATTTCCTGTGAAACTTGAGAAAGTTCGTCGAGGTACCACAGTGAAACCTGTGAATAAGTTCGTGAAAAAGCTTTGTACATATATGGCTCAACACGTCGATGGGAAGTAGCAAATATGCAAAATGCCCCCTCCGTCGACGAATTGCGCCAAGGAAAAGGCTACAGCTCAAGAACCAATCCAGAAGGGTTTCTTTGTAATTTTTCTAGCGCCACCAACATAAGACACGGGCGCATCGACTGAGCTCAATTCGGAGCTATTTTGCTTTTTCGCCTTACTTGTGACTCTGTCAACCTTTCAACATCTCCGGGGCTTGAGGTGTTCATCGGGCTCCCCCTATTTGCTTTATGCTAATTGAAAAGTAACTCAGTTTATCGGCGCAATGCTTTGCTATTCCCATGGCCTTCACGACCATGTTCATTGTTGGTACGTGCTCCATACCATTTAGTTTGAGACCCTTCAGTCCTTTGTCTGTCTGGCCGGTGGCACCACATATTTAGAAGCTGGTTGGCGGTATAATTAGTCCACCCAAGCTTGACGACTATTGGAGAAACGCTTTATTCTGTATCCTTATCGAAGTAATGACCTTCAGAACCTCTA